GATATAAGTGTTATTTCTTCAGCGTTGAATAACGCAAGACCACAAGAATACAACGAATGCAATTGATAAGTAAGTCTACAGTTCTTTGGACTTGTATTTGAAATGCTTACTTGTATAAACGGATACATAAGCTTTGAAACCTAGAATAAGATAAAAACAATGCCTCTAGAACTTTTTAAGGATCTACCATGCCCCTCCTATTTGGAAACTTATTTGATTGGATATGGAAAAAATATAAATTCGCTCAACTGCCTCGCTCATTAATTGACTGCTTTTGGAGTTGGGGGACAGACTTATTGAATTATCATAATCTGGGCCAAATTGAAGTCCTGGATTTCAAGTCTCGCATGTTTATGTTGCTGTACAACATTTGAAAATTGACTGCAATGCCATCATTGGCTACAAATTGATTTTGCAGCTTTATATACTAAGCGTCTGTCAATCGTTGTTGTTGTCTGCTATAGCTTTTATGGCTTTTGCTATATGACATTTTTTTGCGTCGCGCTTTGGTATCTACCAATTAATTAGATTTAATTATTTTCAGTACTCTGCCATCTTCTCCGACTCCACTTTAGCCTCCGCCCTTGCACCCTAGATGCTGGTCGTTTAGTCATTGATTGGACCTAATTAACTATACTTGAAATTGGCGCGCGCACCAAATTTCAACCATCCATCAAAGCGCCCAACTCTAACGAAACACGAAATGGCCTGGGTGAGAGGGTAAGTGAATGTAAACTTGCTAATGTGCGAGGGAGTGTATTTGTGTGTATTTGTGCATTTATCTATTACAATGTGTTGCAATTATGCATTGTAAGTGCCAGACATCAATCAATTAGTTTTTTATCAATGAATTAGTTTACTTTGTACACACCCACAATCCATATACCAGGTATATTAGACATGTGATGCGGCAGACCTCACAAACTGAACGTTAGGGTTCAGACTGTATATTCCCTCTGCTATATGCATTCCAGCTCTATTCACAGCTACAAGATTTGACCACAACTCCAGGTCTATACAAACCAGATTGTGCGCATATACAAGTAAGTCGGCTTATCGTCAGAGATGCTTGCTTTGTTAGCCTGAACTTAACAATCATGTTAAAAGAAATACAATTCGTGTGTTTTTCAAATTTCCATAGAGTTTCATTACAACATGGCATGTGCATTTTAATGTAATTGGCGAAGGACTTTTCTTTTTCCGATATCAACATGGTACATACTTTAATTTTCAGTTTTGCCGCAATGACCGCCATTTTTCGAAAATGCGCAAAATCGGGCAAAGGAGACCTATTAATTATGCATCTGTATACTCTTTTTAAGAGGTTGGCGTTGTTATTTTCATTGATCATATGCATAAGTTATTTTTTAAATGCATCGAGCATCGAGGTAAAACCTGCCTACGCCCTTGGCCAGGGCTGTCACCGATCACCTGAGTTAATAGGCGTGCCAAATTAACAAGGTTGTAACAAAGCTAAAAAAAAAGTTTATTTCCCAAAAATATTTTCATACTTTTTTCGATTTTATGCCGCTGTAGGACCATAGTGCATTGTTTAATTAATATTTTACAGCTCGAATTGGAAAGACCATTAAATGAATGGTACATCGGCTAATGGTAAAACAAGTACAACAACCATATTGTGTATCCACGCATTTATTTCTATGTAAATGCTGCTCATGAAAATTCGCATGTTTACAATCAAAGTATCAATTATTTAGACCATCAGCTCAACATCGGCGAGTACGCCTCAAACTATTCCCCCCTATTGTAATATTTCAAATGTCCATTTACATGTTTTACGTGCATGTTGTTCAGCATGTTTTACAATCCCTCGTACATTAATTTACTTTTGTTATTAATTTAAAAACTCATTTATCAATTAATTAAAGGCTATATTTGTGTGTCGAGCATCCAAAAACAACGTGAAAAATCTAAATTGAAATAGGTATGCCGCTGTGGCTTAGAAAATTGCAATTACAGACAGTAACAACCGATAGACATCTATGCTAAAAATTTACAACAAGGTCATTTGAAACGCTCACTCATTCACTCACACAGCCAGCCACCAAGCCATCGAGCCATCGAATTGAGGCTGCAGAATCAAAAAGGCAGAAAATTGGCTTACAATTGGTCAATGGTTGAGCGTCCAACGGTCGACGCTTGGCATGAACCAGCTAAGTGATTTCAACTTCAAGTAGCACACAAAACAACAGCAACAACAACAACTAAGCCAACACGAAACTAAAGAAAAAAGAACGAGCTAAAAAACAAAAACAAACACGTCACGGCAATTAAAAAATTGACGTCGTCGGCTCTGAACGTTGCTTAATAGAGAGACAACTTAATAGTTGTTTGCCATTGCGCCATTATGCAATTGCTGGCCAAAAGGCTCACTTTCCTCATTTCCAATTGCTTCAAGTGGGAAAAGAAAAGGCTGGGTACAATGTTGGTATTCTGTTGATGATTAGCAGGAATCAAGAATACTGGTTATTGGGCCGGTTTAGAGAGCTCAATACAATGCTGGAGTACTCGTGTATCAAAATAATAATATAAATAAGAATGGCCTAAATCGCTAGCCCAGCTCTACGAAGCACTCGTTCGACTGACCACAATTAGTACGCGAACTCTGTGGAGTTGAGCGGTATTTTGCTCATAATGCGCTCTAGTTGACCAAAAATTAACTGCCATTAGGTACGGGCTTCAGTTTAGCAAACTTTTCCACTTTGAAACTATTTCAAAAGTAAAACGCAACTTGGAACGTGGTCGCTTCATCTGCCCCACTCGCTCGCATCCTCCCTCTCACTGTCACTCTCGCTCCACCCCTTTCAATTTGTCTCCTCCGGTCGCTCTCTCCCCCTCGGGCTGCTGTCAACGCTTGGGTCTGCTAACTCTTTGGGTATTGAATGTTGGTTGGCTCCTTTGCCCGATTGCTACGATTGCGGTTCGAGTCTTTGCCTCCTGCATGATTTATGATTTTCCGAAAAGTATTTGTGGCCAACCACACGAATGGCAATGGGCAAAATACCTCAACCTGACCATTCAAAGTTGTCTACGAAAATCATTTTAATTGAAAATTACACATGAAAGCATGCCATAGGACTGGAGAGTCCAAGATGGTCGAATGTCTAAAAATTGTACAAGGCGTTCATGTAGCCATGTGCTTGGCTTGTAGCTTCGCGTGCGGTTGTGGGCGGAGCTGGCGGTTGGTTCGGTTCAGTTCAGTTCGGTTCGGTTCAGCAGTATGGTCACTCAGTCAGTTAGCCAAGCAACTGGGGCAGCCGAAAACAACAAAAACCAACAAGAAAAAAAAAACAAGCCAAACTCCATTGCACGTACCGGAAATGTCCATTCACTTGCATATTAACAAAGTTCCGCACCGTAAGGCGCAGAATGAGCGTGACTGTGGAGGAACTGTGACTGTTCTTGCTTGCACATACTTTTCAGTATCTATTAAACTCTCGGTACTCTTGGGACCCACAAAAGCACACTGTCCAAAAATGCTTTATACAAACAAGCTGACTATCATACCCAAATACAACAATTTCATCCCAAAGTCCTATTGAAATTTGGCAGAGGCATACCCATCAGTCCGTCCTATTGCCCGTTCAAATAAGCATCTAAGCAAGAATGGAAGCCAGGCATATAGCTTTTATAGAAATGTTCGGAAATATCCTAAGTACACTTATTATGTGAGCCACTGAAGAAACGCAAAAGGAAGAAACCATTAGATCAAACCATCAGGTAGCGAGCAAGTTGTATCTATTCTAGTAGTAATGAAAAAGTTGAGCACAAGCCGCGAACAGAAAAAATGCTTCACTTTTTTTACGAATATATGAAAACAAACGAAATATGTAAAACGTATTGTTTTCGGTGCAGGTGCACACACATGCCAACTGAAAATAACTGAAGGCCAACTGTGGCAGCCAACTAAGTAGTAGGCAATTCGTCGTCCCTGGCCCATACATCATATGGCAACGCAGTTATAGTCATCTATGTACAATATATAGCCAACGAGGCAACCAGCTTGCCCGCCCAAGACTCCTACTATACTTGTATGTAGCATACAACTTTGCGCTGCCTGTGGCGCAGCCGCTGCGCAGCTTAACTGAAACTGAAACTGAAACAGGAAAGTATTGCGAAGGCACCGGAAGCCGGAAGCAAGCAATAATTCAAATGAATTTCAAATCAAATCATTAGAAAACATTTACAAAGTATGCACAGCAGGGACTAGTGGGAGCTAGTAGTTGGTTGGACAGGGACGGCCTAGAGGTAGGGGCGGTGTTGCAAAACCACTGCGCATAGCCGAAGTCACTTTGCGGTCGCCTTTTGGCGTCGGTCAATGTGCGCATACATGCCATGAACTTGAAACTTTTTGCGGAACATCAAGAGTTGGTCAAGACATGAACTTAGGTCCTGACCCACATTACCCAGGGACTATTTGGTGTAACTGCAGGCGCCTGCGCCAGTGCAGTGATTAATTTATATTATTACGACACTGATTAGAGCCACTTACAGGATGATTACAAACACGAGAGCATAATGCACTGCTTCCACACCTTGTCGGCAAAGTGGACCAACTGCAGCGCAGCAGACGCACACTGGTCCGAAATGAATCAAAACGTAACTCAATTTCAACTGTATACTTCGTTTTAAGCTATTCTTCACAGTGCAATGCATTGATCAAGTTTTCATTGTTTTTCCTCTCTGTTCTCGAAATAAGAAAGCCTGTCCTCGCATCGACTAACCTCGCCTGATTATCGTGACTTCTTATTATGGGCTTCCACCCTTCTGGTGCAGGGTAAATAAAACATATCGTTACAATTTTATATAAAAGTTATTTTTAAACTCATGCAGCAGAAGAAGTTTTAGGAATGAATTGTGATACAAATATGTAACACAAATTTATTATATAAATAAATAAATTATGCTTAGATACAAAGAAAAAAAAATATTTCTTGCAAAAAAAAAACAGAGTCTTCGGTCGCCATTACCTCAGTTGCTTAGCCCCGATTGGGACGCACCACAAGCACCTGTGGTCGCTTCTTGCCACGCTTGTTGCCCCGACGGCGATTCTGGGTGTTGCCCACGCGATTTGCCACACGGCGGCGATTTGCTGGGGTACGACGACGTAGATTTCCATTTTGCAGAGCAGCCGATGCAATAACTTGGGGCAAGAGATCAGCCACTGGGGATCCGCCGTAGATGGCCTGGTTGAGGGCCGCATTAGAGCTGGTCGACGAGGAGCCTGAACTGGAGCCCAAGTTCACATATATGGCCCCATTGGCACTGGTGGTCACAGCTCCTGTGCCGGTAGCAGTTCCTGTACCCGTGACTGTGGCCGTGCCGAGTGTTCCCAGCGTGCCTACAGTACCAGATGTGCTAACTGGGCGCAACTGCTCCAACATATCTTGCTTTTGGGTTATATATTGGTTGAGGGCTGAGTTGATGTTATTGCTGTTCCCACTGCTTGACAGCCCGGCGGCCAAAAAACGCAACTGGCCGTTTTCGTTGCCATCTTTTACAAAGATACCGGCTAGACGCTTGGAGGGCCCCTTCTCCAATGTGTTCACACCAGATTCTTCCACATCACCATTTGAGCTGGCGCGTGGCAACGTCTTGGCCGAGACACCATAGGCGGATGCCAAAAACGCCAGAGCTAGCAGCAATGCCATCAGACAAGTATGAATCTTAAGTTCCATATTGGGGTTCACTTCGTTAGCTACTGTACCGTTCGGGCCGATAGCAGCCCGCTTATATAGTAAGATTACCAGCCATGCCCGGATGATATGCAAAATCTTACGCTTTCTTCTTAACAATTCTATTGAAATTACGAATATCATCACTACATTTGAGTTTTCATAGCATATAGTACAAAAATTGACTCTTCGGCGTTAGAAAGTACCGCAAACCCCTGCAGCCAAAATGAATGTAAGTCGCTTTCGATCATGAGCGTCATCATTGTTGGACAGTGTCAAGTACTTAATCTTTTGTTTGCATGAAATCGCGCACGTGAAGGCTGCCTTAGGCCCACCAAACGGAAAAGAACAAACAAACTACAAAAAACATTTCGTATAGCAGTTTTTCTGGTTTCGGTTTGCAGACTTGCCTGGTTTTTGAACAATTCGGAGACCAACTGAGTCCCAGCTCTGCTCTCAAGTGCGTGGCGCACTTTAATTAAAATTTAAAATGAATGCAACGCGCGCAAATGTGCTGAATTTTTATTTGAGGCCAAAACTACTTCTCTTGGCTGCAGCCGCACAGTGGGACACGCTGTACTGTCAATTGTCGAGGTAATGTTTAGTGTGTATGTGACGATGAGTACAATTGGCCCAGGTTACAAAAGGCCCAAAGATACAAAACTAAACTACGGATTGTTCTAAAATGTATTTGGAATTCTGATATTTTTTCCCCACAATTTCATCTCATCAGTAATTTGAAATGTTGGTTACAAATCTCATGCAAACGTATAAAGAAGAATATATAAATATAGGTATAATGTATGACCTGCAATTAGTGTTCAACCGATGTTCGATATGCCAACAATTCTGGATTATAGACACATAAAAAACTTTAAGACAAATTGTATTTTTTTTCTTATGTAATAACAAAATATTAATGGCTATGAAACAAATCAATAATCTTCATTTGCTGAAGTTTCGTTTCCCTTTTCTGTTTGCATGGAAACATTTTCTAGACTAACAGTTTTTACGTTATTCTCGATATTTAAAGCTGATTTAGATTGCAAAATATCTCTTTTTACTAAAAAAGAAAAGCAGAGAATTGAACAATTTCTGGATCTGAACGCTCAAGTACACGAACCCTTGAGACTACACGTTTCATTGAAATATATTAGAGCAATACAATGTATTGTAAAAAACATTTTTTTGAGAACTGAAAGAAAGTCAGTTACAACTGCTTTCAGGAGATATTGTTTGAATAATAATAAATTGTTTGAAGCAGCATGCATAAAGTCAGAAGATCAGGTTTATTGCTCCGAATATTTGATATTTATATATGCTCTACCCATAGGGCACTTGCTATTAGTGCCTTATTGACGTAACGTCTAGTTTAAGCGAGATAAGTAAACTTTAAAGGAAGTTGCAGCCATAGGGTAATCTCATGCTTTGGTCAACTCTGCACAGCAGAGTTGAAAGAAATGTCTATAAATCTATACACATAGGTGTTAGATATTATTTCTTTAATTATTTGAATAAAATACAACATATGAAATCAACCGGCTTTCCACAATCCCTTTTCTCACACTGTGTCACATGCGTAGGGCCCTAGTTGGCCAACGATAGTTGCTGACGCCAGCGGCAGGCTGTTGAAATAAATTTCACTTACGCCAACGCCACACACACATTTATACATATCGGTGGCACAGGCATACACTCGCACACACACTCGCACACACACACACACACACACATTGATGGCACACACATGCGGTGCGTCGTTTACTTGGCAATGCAATTACAGGCGCTAACCGCGCGTAAAAACAACAACAACAACAACAACAACATCAACAATACGAAGTAGAAGAAGAAGAGGAGTAGCATCAGCAGCAATTTCCGTGGAGCTTAAAGCGAGGCAATGACAATTAACAACAGGCGACAAAATGACTACGACTACGATGACGATGACGATGACGAGAGACGCAACAGAGAGGTATTCAGCGCTGAGGACGCATTTGGGAGAGATGGGGAAAATGCGGAGATATGGAAGACGAGAACAGGCTAAATATCAATGACAGCAGCTTCTGGCAAAGGCATTTCGTAGATGCCCCATGAGAAGTAGCCGGAAAAGAAGGAGGACGAGGAGGAGGGCATCAAGCATTTCCTTTTTTACGCATATTAACAGGCTTGAATTTTTCACAATGCCACTGCATTCGCATGCTTTTCCTCTTTTTTGCGCTTGGAAAACCACACGCACAATTTTCACGTGCAATTTCAGTAAAAATCGTTGGCAATAGAATGCAGCCGTTAGGCTGGGGAGGACAACAGAGTTCGGGGTGGAGGAGCGGTGGGTGGGCGTTTGGATGGGCATGTAAGCCCAGCACAACAAAAGTTTTGTGTCTTTCCACGCTCCGTGCATACTCATGCCTAGTCAAGCACACGACTGGCAAGCCACTTTCCGCAGTCGCTACCTCGTTCTCTTTCCCTTTCTTTTGCCCACCAAAGCACCATACCACCAGTCCCACTGCTCTATTGCTCGATATATTACGAAAACAAAAAACACTTGGCAAAATGGGAGAATTGCGCAGAATTTTAAGTGAAATTCCATGACATTTTAATGGGGTAGAAAAGGCAGTCGTCGTCGTCTCCGTCGTCTCCGTTGTTGTCACTTGAGTGCTGCCTGTTGTTATACCCTGTACCCGAAGGGCGGGAACAAGGAACATATAAAAGGTCTGTTCAAATTATATAACTGACAAAAGGAAGCGTCTCAAAACTCTTAAATCATAGAAAATGTTGATCGACAAGATGAAATCAGTCAAACCAGATAATATCAACACCATTTTTCATTTGTATGCCCAGTACCCGAAGGGTAACGAGTATTTAAAGCTTGGGAAAAGTAGGCAAACTATACAAGCAAACGCAAAACGGTCTTAAAAACAACATATAGCTTTCAAAGCCACACATAATACCAATGAATTATAGGTGGCTCCCTTTAAATTGGAAGTGATATTCTGCATGCCATGGTCATTTTGATTTGAATGGAAAAATATTATACAAATGTTACGAATATATGTATGTTTAACCGAAAAAAGTAGTGGAAGACTTCATAAAATACATATCTGTATATTCATGACCAGAATACGCAAACGAATCGGGATAACCAAGAACCAGGCATTGGCTTAGTGATCGAATTTTTCGAATGCCAGTTTATATATCTTTGCAACAATATTTTGTTATCCATTTCACATACTGCGTTGTAATCAATTTGTTAAAATAAACACCCATAGTTGTTATTTTTTACAAATACTATGACATTTCCACCGGTATCTTCGGTTAATACAAATACACAAAATTTAAGTATTTTTAAGATGTTGGTGTCATGCTGCACATAGAAACTCCCGAACTCGTGAAATATTCTCGAAGCCAAAGTCATAAAAAGCCTTTAAATGACTAACATACGCGACAAATAAATTTCAGGAATCAACGGCGTGCCAGAAAAAACAGAAATTGTTCACTAGAGGGGATGGCATACCGGGTCTTAGCATACCGATTAAGTCGCCACCGAGGAGACAAACTATCACGCTGGAGAGCAGAGCATAGCGAAGCCGGACCGAAGGGAAGTCCAACCGGAAGTTCTTTTAGTAAAGTATAGGCATATATTTAAGTGGGGAGGCCTAGACAAAGACAAAGCTGTCGAGCGCCTTGCACGGATCTTGTTGAAAATTCTTCAGTTGATGGTTGTTGTTTGAGAGAAGGGGCCGACCTTCGTTTAATGCTGCGCGACAGTGTGACGCATCCTATTTATAGATGCCAGCAGACAAAGCATTGGGGGCGATCTATTGCTCGGGCGTTTTCTAAGACGCCTCCCTTCTACATCACCCACCCGCCACAAACGCTTTGTCAGCCTCATTACGCCCGTGCCATCTCGCACCTTTATTAATTGCAGGCGACGTAAACGAACGCCGGGGGACGAAATGGGGGAGGAGATGAGCGCTTGACATGTTTAATGCGAAAACAAAAAAATACGAGAGAAAAGAAAGCAGCCATGGGGGCAAACAACATCTCCGGGATCGCCAGCCGATGGGGCCCACGCGCTATTTTTGGCATTACGTACGAAGAGATGGCGCGTGGCGTGTTCGGAGTTGACATAGGCTGGAAAATTGTGTACATTCTTGGCAACCAGTCTATTTCGGAACCCGGCAACAGCAGCTTAGCAGGAACACGGGGCAAAGTCGAGCGATGTGCCTGTCTGGGTGATTGCACTCATCAGACATTGCAATGTGAGGCAATAGCTACATGCCAGGCCCATGTCATGGCGATATCCAGACAAAAGTGGCAGCCGCGAATGAGATGCCGTATTAACGCCTGAAAAGTCGGATCTGAATTGAGGAATGTATTTTATAAATAGAGCTCTGAAATTAGCAGACCTATTGTGAAATACACTTTTGCAAAACGAATCTCTGTCTGAACAATGGCTATATATTTTGATTAGAAACTTGCTATTAATAAGATTATAGGGCTTTTGTGCGCCTCTTTGTCCATTTATCAGTCCGCCTAAAAAAAGGGGACCTCGCACAAGGGTCTCTTGCAAAAGACGATAGTATACTACGAGTTTATGAATGTTGCAAATAGAAGTATTTTTGGCACAAAAACACTAAAATAGTTTTCGTGCCATTAATCTTGACATTCCAACAGTAAAAATAGAATATAACACATAATAACTAAATACATATTTAATGTAAGGCTTGGGAACTTGTGGTAAGTCTCAGAAAAAGCAGATACAATGGGGATTACAGCTTTTCAACTTTTGATATGTGCGCAATTTTAATCTAAGTGGTCTTTTGCTTGTTTACAAGACTTTACAATCCAATCCCACTTTCTATGGATTGTGAAAAAAGTTTTGCAAAAGAAATAAATGGGCACAATTTTGAACGTTATCCCTCCTAGGTTAACATTTTAGTATTCTATGGACCTAACGGAAAAAAATTACAGTATTTGAAGCTGCTTTCAGTAACCCCTTAATC